GGGTTCCCATCACCATGCCTCAACCAGATTTGGTATTCGGGACACCCCTTGGGCAGATGGAAAAGAGGTGATACAAAAACCCCTTTTCCTTCGGAAAGGACTACGACGAGGACGGAGCCGATCGGTTCGACTTGGCCGTGCCTGGGCTCCGCCGGGCTTAGCACGGCAAAGATGTGGTGACGAAACCCGCAGCCCTAAACCCAGGGTTTAGGGGTTCAGCGGAGTCTGGTCTGGGTTTCTTAAAACAAAGGTTCGGGAGACAGAACACAAACACATGAAGGTCCGAGATTTGCACCTAACATAGGGGCCGGACTTAGTTACCAACTCTATTCCCTAGTGTTCCGGGAATTCCGTGTTTGACTTTAGCATACTCCAAAGCTCTATTGTAAATGATTCAGGCCCCTATCTGCAGGCTGAACCGGTTGGCGCGTGGGCTCAGGTCTGGGGTGTCGGGGTCAGTGTAGCACAGGCTAGACAGGGTCTATGTGTTTTGCAAAAAAAGATTAAGCCCCGAAAGTTCTGTCGCTCGCGAGAGCCAGCGGCTGAAAGCCTCCTAGGTAAAGGCCTGCCCAACACGCGACAAAAAAACATTGCCGGACGTGTGGAAGGTCGCCTGTAGCCCCCAAAGACCCTGAATCCTCTCAGCAGATCCTCTTCGGACGCAACCATCTCGAGCTCTGTAAACTCCGAAGCGCCCCCAAAAGCCGCTTCCTTGAACGCGCCCCCCCTGCGTAAGGTGCGGGACATGACCCGGGAGCACCGGAAAAAACTGGCCGAGGAGGCCAAGGAGGCCAAAGAAGCCAAAGAGGCCGAAGAGGCTGAAGCCAAAGAGGCCGAGAAATCGAAGGAAGACAGCTGACAGGCTGAAGGATACTATAGAATATAGAGAAAGAAATCTCCATAAGTACCAAATAATATTCCGGAGGGTTCTGTATTATGATTATATACTATAGAGGAGCCCGAAGCCCTATTCTAATTTTGTAATGCCGCTGCATTCGAAGACTTTGGGGTTGGAGGGTGTTGGGACTCTTCCAAAGCTTTCATCGTTTTCGGACCAAGATCCTTCGACGGAGTGCTTCAACGTCTCACTTCCCGGGCGAATGAACGGCCTCGTCATGGGAAAAATGGAAGTGCAGGAGCCTGAGTAGCAAGTCCTACCATTCCCCAGCATTACATAAGAGATTCATAGAGCATAGCTCAAATCACGCAGGACCTTAGGTCCCCATATGTCGCTGATCATCGCTGAGGAAAGGCTCTTTCAGCTGCCCAATTCCGCAGCCCCTTTACGCCAGGACAAGTAGCTTTCTCGTCCCATCTTGTGACGTGGGAGGTTCCTAGCAGTCCCGTAAGGGCGCTTGAACAGCATAGAAGCTTGCACTTAGTGTCCGATTGCCGATGCCTCGCCGCGCCGCATCTGCACCGCCGCCGAAGGGCCTGACCCGGCCAGTGAAGGTTTGTGCAGCTTGGGCCAAGTTGAGTTGAGTGACTGCCCTTGCGCAAAACCACAGCAGAACCCAAACGTGGCACTTAGGGCAATGCTCAATGAAGAGGCGGGGAACCCCATCTCAAGGAAGGATTACCATATTCCCAAACCTTCAACCTCGCTACCCGAAACCCTCAACAAGGCCCCATGAAGAGCCCATTCCATACCCCCAAACCAGTGCTCCCAAGCCTGAGGTGCGGGTACGTCCGGTGCTTGAGCGAGAGGTGGAGCATGGTCGGGAGCCGAGGAAATCGGGTTTAGGGTGGAGGCTTTGTGAGAGAGAGAGAGGGTGGAGGCTTTGGAGTTTCGGATTGTGCAGACTGTCAGGCTTTAGGTGCATGTTGAGGCTTTACACGCACACTTCAGAGATCTTAAGACTGAAGAGAGGGTTTGGGGCACGGTTGCCTTTTTGGATGACTTCGGGGGTTTAGGGTTTAGTTGAGGCTCACCCGTACCTGTGAGTGCTCTAGACGAGTTGCAAGGCTTGTGGAGTTGCTCTACATCAGGGCTCGGTACTTCCTGTCCAAAAGGATGATTTGAAGCAGCCCTCTGATGGGCTCCGACTTGATTCTTAAAGTGTTGGCTCTCAGCCTTGAGGTTTCTGGGACCTGGTTGCTTGTGTGTCGGCATGGGCCAGAAATAGCTTCACCCCGTGCTTTTGGTCGACATAATATTCGTGGGGTGGGGGATGGGTACATTTGTGCCTGGTGTCTAACAAAAAGGGACCTTGCGGAGCGAAAAGAAGCAGTGAAGACACGATGGGCAATTCAGATTCCATTTGCAGTTAAAGTCCCAAGGTACTTATCATGGGTGTATCGCCATCGCCCACGAGAGAGTCTACATCAGCACGGAGGACAAGCCCGTGCTCATCGGAAGCAAGGACACCACCTCCCCTCTCTCAGGGGCTTTGGCTCTCCTTCATAGAGAGTGCAGGGATACCAGTTGAAATATCCCACGAGAGCATTACGTCTTGCTGGATGCAGGACGACCCGTTGCCGGAGGGAATCCGCGCCTACCCTGGCTTCGATGGCCTCCTGGACCAGGACGCTTCACAGGAGGCCCGAGGTGGTTCTTTTCCGGGGGGTGGATGCCTCCGAGGAGCTCGAAATTCGTAAGCTGAACCTGTCAGAATCTGGCTGCTCGGTCTCGGTCTTGGCCCGCAGCAGCAAAGTATATCGTCTCTTCCAGTCAGATACGGGGACGTGCTGTTTCGGTTCCGAAACCGCCAGGTGGCTTCGTCTACAAACGCTTGTCAGCTGTGATACTTGCCTGGGGGTACAGATGCCCTAAATCCTGAACCCCTAAAACTTGACCCGAAACAAGATACGTGCTTGGAGACGGAGCCCGGGTGTTGCAGTGGTCTTAGCATGCACTCGCACACGCATCCGCGGTTGCCCACAGTCCCGCGGACGCCTGGTGCAGAAGATTCACGAGTGTCGGAGGGAGCGCGAGAAGCACCACAGAAAAACGCAGCAAGCCACAATGAGCGTTACGGGGTATGCGGTACGTAGGGTTCAGGCTTCGGGCGTGCCGAAGTTGCGCCAGGATGTTTTCCAGTCCGCCGGAAAGGAGGCCGTTGACGGAGTTCTGCTACTTGACTTGCAAAATCTTGAGGCGCTCCCTGCTTCTCTGTGGCGCAAAATGTGTCATCTCCCCTTCGGTACGTATTCTTGTGACGACGATGCGGTTTTTGTATTGGCCGGAAGGCGCAACCTCAAGAATAAGGCCTACAAGTCTATTTTTAGCTTCAGCTGAACCCTGAGGCCAATGTTCGAGAAACTGTAGGACCGCGCACTGCTTTTCAAGACGGTTCTGGATTTAAACTTTTCGCCGGTTCGTGATCACAACCAACACCGCGAACAAGGAGACGACACCAATGATTGTTGCGATAGTTGCAGTAAACAAGGAAAATTTGCGCAAGTAAAAATATCAAATATCTAAAGTCCGTACAATGTCTGGAGCCTTCCTGCCTGGTGCGAGTGTGAGAGTCGGAAAGTCCGTATAATGAATACTGAACAAATAAATAGCTATAGATGGATATATACAAATATGCAGAAGTATGCAAGAAAAAATAACCAAAGAAATGAGTTCATGAGTATATGCCAATAAATAAACAAGTCGGTATGTAAGTGTAAATATAAATACAATAAATTTACATATGAACATGAGCATAAAGATAAATATAAGTGTATTTATAAGTATAAATATCGAATACAAATATATCTATCCATCTGGTGCTGCTAGAGTCTCTGGATGCAAAGGCAGAGAGAGAGAGAGAGAGAGAGAGAGAGAGAGACAGAGAAAGAGAGAGAGAGAGAGAGAGCGAGATAGATCTGTCTGTCTGTCTGTTTGTCTGTCTGTCTGTCTGTCTATCTGTCTATGTGTCTATCTGCCTATCTATCTGTCTATCTGTCATTCTATCTGTCTATCTATTTGTCTATCTATCTGCATGCGTGCATGCATACGTATGTATAAATATACCCGCATGGAGACACATGCATACACGTACATATATACAAAAACAAGCATGGTTGATGATGCTTTCTGCGTGATGCGAGCCGTTTGGGATTTTGGTAACCTCAACGGTATGCTTGTTCATTGTGCATTCCTTCCATGTGTACCGCAGTCTTCATTCCTTCTTTCTACCGTCCACTCTTCCCTATTCCGTATTCCAAGTTCCTTGTCCGTGTTACTGTGTCCTGCTTCTACTTGTCCTGATCGCCTGGATTGCAGGCCCCAACTTTTCTTTCCAACCTCTAGCCGATAGCCCCAGCTATTATAGGATTTAGGTTCATGTGTACCTACGTGTGTACGTAGGCATGTGCGTCGCGCATTTGACAAGGCTTGGCCTGAATGCCGCCATCATGGCTTATGGCCAAACCTCGACGGGAAAGACACACACCATGGTGGGCGAACTGTGCTTTGCAAGAGTTGCCCTTTTGGGGACCATTCGGGAAAGAAGGATACTCGTGTGTGGCCTTGGCTTGGAGGATCGTTTTTGCAGGAACCATTTTTTCCAGCGGTTACAAGGCCTTTGGAGCACGGGTCCGGATGCTGTCCGTCTGCACGGCGCCCACGGTAGGGTTGAGTTTTGCAGAGGCAGAGGGTGTGTCGACATGCGCAATAAAGTCAGATGGTGTCTCCCTGAGTCTTGCTCCTGGATAGTTGAGATGCTGGCAGCGGTGTAGCGCATATGTCCGGATTAATTTTCACTCTTTGTGCAGCCAATCAGCATAGACCCCAAACTGTAGGCCCGAAACGTTGGAAGAACATATGGCAGCCAGTGCAAAATGAGCATCGCACTGTGGCTGAAAGAGCATACCCTGTTGGATTCCTATGCCACCCGAAATGGTACCCCCGGTGTGTCTTCCGTTTGACCTAGGACCGGACACGTCCAGGCCTCTGCCTCAAGGCCTTTCTAAGGTTGAAACCATGGGCCCCTAGTATAGGCCCTTCGTCCTGGGTTCGCAGAATCCCCCTTAAAAGGCCTAAGAGTCCATGCTAGGGCCCATACTGCTAACCTTAGAACCCTCTGGTTCGGAACTTCTGTTTGGGGTTTTACAACTTCTCTCGCTTGGGACCTGAAGACTTGGCTTGAGACCCTTGCCTGGCATAGAAGTGCCGACGGGTTGCAAGCTTGATTCCGTCACGACCGCTTGAAGAGCCAGAGTGCGTTACATCAGGATATCATCCCCCAGGAAACGTCTCTGAGTAGAGGCCCTCCCCCCCCCCGACAGGCTTTAGGATTCAGAGTGTTCTTCATCGTGAACTTCGTGGCTGGGACAGGGCAGGTTTCACAGCTAGTCGGTAAGTCCGTACAGAGCTGGGATTGACTTGGCTGCGAGGGTCCGATGGTCCCTTTTCCGTCTTTGTGTTTTTTTCTTGTTCCCCCTAAAACAATCCGCCTGGATTTGCTTCGGCGGGTTGCTGCAGAATGCATCACATGAAGTGTCGGATTCAGGATGATCGCAATGCTGCGCCAACACGAAGTAGGCAATGGCTTTCACTACGTCTTGTTCGCGTTTTCTGAGTGTCACGATACGTGTGTTTACTCGTTCCATGCTCTTGACGCAGCTCTCCTCTACAGCCAGGAGGCAGCGCCGCTCTCCAGTTGGCTCGTATCGTGTGCTTCAGCTCCCCTCTGAATCAAACTACGCCTGGGGCAGTTCTGCATGGACATGCGAACAGTAGCCCTTTATGGGCGAGGTTCTAAATCCAACTCTTACAGCACATACCCGGACCCTGAACTCTAAGAGCGGGCCCCGGTGCTCGAGGCAGCAGGGCACCTCTTCTCGGAAGCTGCGCTGTGTGGATCGCAGATCGAGGCCCCCGCTGGTCGGGGTTCAGGGTTTGGGGCGTGGGTATACGTCATCTGGCACAGGGATGAGAGCCGTGTTGCAGTGAAGCCCTGTAAGACTATGGGCTCGTGCAGGGTTTCAGCTCTTGAGATCATGTTGGTGGACTTGGAGGTGAGTGGGCATAAGCAGGAGATGATTGCAGAGACACGGAGGCTGGGATCCTGGATGTCCGTGCTCCGAAGCAGCTGTGAGCCCAGGTTCAAGCTTCGTTCCTCCAGCTGTACCTAAACCACATCACGGATCTCCTCGTGCCACGGCCCTGCACACAAGGATTGGCTTAGGGTTGAAGGTTCCGTTCTTCCATGTCAGGCGCTGCGACGGTGCGAGTCAGACTCCTGTCTATGCAGCTGGCCCGTCTGCAAGTGGCTCAGGTAGCCGATGGCCACGAGCGTTCGCTGAAACTGCGGGAGGTGGTGGGCGAAGAAGCGACGGACACAAAGGTCGAGGGACTCTCAGAGAGGCAGCTTGGGCGAAATCAAAAGGGGGCCTTGGTTTCTCTCACCATCTTCAGTGTGGCACGTGCCTCTACTGGGAGAAGCTCGGAGCCGCTCGGAATGTGCTCCTCCCGCTAGGCTTTTTGTTGTTGAGAAGTTGAAGACTGGCGAGACATAGCCCATGCCCGTGCTCTAAACGGTGGAGTTCAGATGCCCAGTCAGTGAATCCTAGTTGATAGTTTGCTGCCTGATGAGCGCGAGGTTGGTGCAGTCGATGGACGATGTTGCAGCCGTCCTCGAGGTGCTGGGGCATTGAACCAACGTTAGTTTGTCTTCCCAAGCCAAGCCTCAAATATTAGCATGAGACCGTGAGCCCCGCTAGCATCTGAGAACGGCGAGTGAGAATGCCCTCTCGCACAGGAACCAGAAGCACACGAAGAACACTACGGCAGATTGCAGTAGCGAGACTTTGCCGAGAGGGAAGGCCACAACAGCAACAGGCCTCGCACTGCGAGAAGTCTGAAGCCTTTCCTGGGCTCAAGCTCTTCCCTCTTTCAAACAGAGACGGTGTATCACGAAGGCGTTTGACTCACGACTTGACCTCCTGACGCCCTGTGAAACCCCCAAGCCCTTTTTCCTAAACGTTGAGCCGCTTTCGGAGTTCAAGACAAAGAGTGCAGGAGGGCAACCGACGACGGCAGCAGGCGTGCACTGCGCTGAATGCCAGCTCAAGCCGGTCCCACGCGGTGCTGTCGCTTCGTTTGATCAAGGGCACGTGTGATGTTAGCTGTTGGGGGGACTTAGGGCTGTATCTGCGGTTGTGCGTGGGCATGGAATGAGCCTATAAACCCAAAACCGTCCAAACCCCCAGTCCTAGTCTTTCAAGGTGACGCGTACAGATTCTTCTCTTGCGAAGCCAATGTGAGCCACGTGAAAAATTGCATGAAGAGTGCTTGCAAGTCTCCCTGCCCCCCATGCGGGCTTCGTCCTAGCTGGGTGGGAGGGCAAAACGTCACATAGTTTGCTGGACCCTAAACGGAGGTGTCCACTCCGTACTCCCAGGATCCTCAACGTCAGCCTGTGGACGGGCACGAGGTCCGACGAGGAGGGCGAGGCCCCGTGTGAGAAGCTGGACTCATGGTCATAGTAGTGTATATATATATATCTCTTATGGCTGAGATCTCAAGTTCAAGCCCAAGGAGACTTCTCATGCCAAAGTCCGATCCGAAAGCCATCGGAGCCTGAGAGCGTCACTCGAAAAGCCCAAAAAAGTCCTTGACACCCTCGCATCGGAAACCCGCAAAAAGAGAGGCCGAAGCCACTGTGGCGAAGCCCCTTCGGCAGCAAGTCCTCACATGGGGGACTCTTCTTGGACCCCTGTCCAAGTACTCCAGCCCTTTGTGCCTCACTCGAGTGATCCGGAGGCCCCGAATCAAAAGAAGCATCTTTGGGACTTCATTCGGCGACCACTCCCGCGCAGCCAAATACCATTTGGTACCGCCGCTCCTACCACTACTGATCACTACTACCACGAGTACTGCCACTACGAAGGCGACGACTTCGACTACCACCACCATGTTCTACTGCTCCGACTCCTACCACTCTTGCTTTGATCATTCATGATGAAGGTAGCAGCAGTATGCAGTATGCATGTGACAGGAGAGGTGAGCAGGGTTGGAACTGTTTGTTTCAAGCTTGGAGCTGGATGGCAATGAACAGATACATGGAGATGCATTCCCTAACATGATTAGGGCTGTTCCTCTTCCTTGATTCAGAGATTTCCCTGTGCATCTGCTCCTTGATGACTGTGTCCGGGGCCCTGAGGTCTAAACTGTCGAAACCATGCCTACTCAGGCCTACTCCCAAAAAGAGGGGTGAGCAAAGCTCTGAGTTTTCAGCACCATCCTGGTTTTTTGGTTAGCGCTCAGCCGAGCGGCATCGCCGGGCACCAAACCTGGAGCTGAAGAGTTTAGAGGGTTGAAGTTCCCCTATAGCGGGATACGCAAGTTTCTCTAAGTGTTCTAAGAAAGCCGCCCTTCTGTTAAGATGATGACGGCGAATACCAGAAAGTTGGCCCTTCCGGCGGACCTAGGCTGTACCTTGTCGATTTGGCTGGCAGCGAGCGGGTGAAAGACTCCGCTGCCACTTGAGCTTTTCGGAGTTTGAGTTGCGGGTTAGCGGTTTTAGGGTTGAGGGTTAGGGTTTAGGGTTTAGGGTTTAAGGTTTAGGGTTGAGGGTTTTGGTCGACTTCCCGAAACTTGAGCTTCCGGAGCCCAGCTGTCGTGCAACCTGGTCGTGAACGCCTGTGAGTCGGCCCCGGAACCCGGGCAGCGCAGGTCCTTCCAAGGCTTCAGCAGGATGAATCTTTACTTCTCCCGAAGAAGCAGAAGCTAGACCAGAACAGGGCCCTACGAATCACATGGCTTTGCCAGAACTCAACACCCAGAAACCCCAAACCCCCGCAGAAATCAGCGATTCCTGCCTGCGCAACGGTTCCGTCTCGTGCGGGAGAAGCGAAACGGATCTACCCTAAGCCATAAACCCTAAACCCTAAACCCTCTAGGATGGATTCGGCAACGAAAACTCTCAGACTCAAGCCCGAAACGCACATCAGAGAAATCCAGATTCAAACGCTCAGCACCCGAAGCTCGGCCAGTCCCGAACCTTCTTCCAACCCGTAAACCACCAAAACCCAGGCTGCTGGGGACCGCTTTACGGAGGCGGTTCACATCAACAAGTCTCTCTTTGCACTTCAGGGAGCGGCTCGTCTCACTTTTGTTTGGGGCTTCTACAGGGGGTCCCTGTCTTCTTATCCAGTTATCAGTTATATGCCCCTTTACATGTGCATGTACACGTCTTTCTATCTCCACAAAGCTCGCACGGGATGTGTTAGGCGAGCATCTACACAGCCTTGCGCAGTTCGCAAGCATGAAGCAAGCAACGACTGCACACACGCACACACAACACGTCACAGCAAGTTAAGTGTTTGTCCAATTACATGTAGCTAACTTACTTGTCGTTCATCAACCAACCAATCGAAGTCAGTTCATTGATGCGTGTTTCAGTTAAACAGTACATGCATAACTTACTTACTTACCTACCTACCTACCTACTTACTTACTTACTTACTTACTTACTTACTCACTCACTGACTTACTTACTTAC